CAAGCAGCAGCAGCTATCTTACTATCAGACAAAGTGAACTTAAGCTAACACTGATCAAAGGAGGAAATAAAAGTAAAAGCCCCAAGCACTGAAGTAAATGGAGTTTATGCAGTTCTTTCCGTGCTCCATTATTAGTCCTTCTCTCATCCTTGGTGTATGCACTATTCCCACACCAACAGATCACAGACCCTGTCCCAGTAGCCAGCAGATCACTGTTCTGAAAGACAGGACCTTCTTACTGGCTTAAACTCTTCAAACTGCCATACTGACCAAGAACCAGGCTGTTAACAAAAGACTTTCTTTTTAAATTAAAAGTTTCCCTGAACTATTAAAAAACAGCAAATTATACAACTCAATGAAGGTTAAAACAAAAATGAGGTCTTACATATTCCCAAGTATTTTCTGCTTTCCATATAAGAAATGGTGGAGACGAGAAATAGTTAAAAAACTTAGCCAAGCAGCACTCACCCCCTTATTGGCAGCGATGCAGCATTCAGCCAGCCGTAACCACAGGCGAGGATTTGCATGATAAACCTGAACAGCTTCGATCAGACACTCGAAGGCAGCAAGAGGCCTTCTGATGTGAAGAAGCTGAATCCCACAGTTATACAGTAACTCATACCTCTTGTTGGTTAGTAAAGTACACATGGGTCTTCCTGAAAATTTTTTGCCTAGTGATAAAAATTTGATGAGAATAAATTATTAAAGAATAGTATTTATTCTAGTAAGTCCTTGAACCCTACCATGTTTAATACCATGTTTAATAGTAGCGGCCACAATCTGAAATTGCAATAGATTTCACCAGTGGTGAAAAGCTCACAGACATTCCCCAGTCATCTCAACTGTTATGCTGGCAGCGACAGAGATGTCTGCTCATCTGCCAGCTATGCAGGCAGCAGTGCTTTGGGAAAGCAGAGAGAAGAGTAGCCACTCTCACACCTTGGAACTTCACACCTTCCCATATTTTTGGAGACCACAGGAAGTTTATTCCCATTTTCAGCTTGGTTAACTATTTTATCATCATGTGTGATCACTTATTCAATGATTCATCATCTATAATAAGACTACTTGTTATTTAGAATGCATATCAGTTAAACATGTTTTTATTATTTTTAAAATTAGACAACTGACTAATTTTAAACTGGGATCACAGGCGTGCACCACCATGCCCAGCAGCAATACTAATTCTGACTAATCAAATATGGTGTGTAACATTATCATGCAGGAGTACTAACTTCAAACGCATGAAAAGAGGTGGGCGAGGTGGTGCATGCCTGTAATTTCAGAACTCTGGAGCCTGAGGCAGGAGGATCGTTGTGAGTTTGAGACCAGCTGGGGCTACAAAGTGAACTCAAGGCCGCCTGAACTGCATAGCAAGACCTTATCTCAAAAAAAAAGAAAAAAATGAACTTAACAAATTTTTTTGTAATTCAGAATTACTCCTCCTGGGTATAGTAGTGCACACCTGTAATCTCAGTTCTCAGGAAGCTGAGGCAGGAGGATTGCTGTGAGTGCCTGGGCTACATAGTGAGTTTAATGCCAGCCTGAACTACACAGCAAGACTCTGTCTCAAAAAAAGGAGAAAAAAACAAAACAAAAACCTCAAATCACTCCTAACACCATATTATTTAGAGCAGCAATATCTACTAAAAATTCCCACAGACAAATGTGTTGGGCAGCATCAGTGTCAATTGCATGTAGGTCTCCAAGCATTCTGACCTGTTGCTTGTCCTTTAAATCATGCTTTTTTTTTTTTTTTGTAATTTAATTTAATTTTTTTGGTCTTTTCTTCCGGTACCAGGAATTGAACTCATGACCTTGCACTTGCGAGGCAGGCGCTTTGCTGCTGAGCTAAATCCCCAGCCCTAAATCATGCTTTTATCAAGCAGTAAAATACAAACTGTGCCTGACTGCTGGGCTCACCTGGGTCAGCACTCGCTGCACTGAGCTGTGCACAGACGCTGTCGTTCTCTTGCAGTGCTTTCTTAAAGTAGAAAATTCCCAAATTGTGCTTACTCATGGCGAAATGGATGCACCCAAGATTATTCCAGAACATACATCGCAAACATTCACCTGAGAACACAAATAAATTTGTTCACAAAAACTCACACTCTTGCTGGGTGTGGAGGCACATGCCTGTAATCTCAGCTACTCAGAAGGCTGAGGAAGGAGTAGTGGAGGTTGGAGGCCAGCCTGGGCAACTGCATGTGACCATCTCAACATAAATACAATAAAAAGGACTGGTGATGAGGGTCCATGCTGTCTGGGCTCAATTCCCAGTATTAAATAAATAAGTAATTAAGTATTTTGAACCTTGACGTCCCTTATACAAGATGGATTATATCTAGGTTAATTCTGCTTGCAATTCTATTTAGTCCTTGGAGAATAGTTTAGGAGACAATTGAAATTTAAGAAATATCAGAAAAAACTTTAAACTCCCTTGTTTTTTATATCTCATTCACTCATTTATTTTGCAGTACTGGGGAATGAACCCCAGGTCTCTGCACTAAACTACATTCCCCATTAAAACATGAAAAATCAGAGGGTGTGGTGGTGCACACCTAGAAAAGAGGTGGTGCAACCCCAGCTGCTGGAGGTGAGACAGGAGGACCACAAGTCCCAGGCCAGCCTGGGCACTTTAGCAAGATCCCATCTTTAAGTAAAAAAGAAACAAATGCTGGGGATGTAATTCAGTGGTACAGTCTTGCTTAGCATGTGTGAGGCCCTTGGCTCAACCACCAGGAGTGAAAGGAAAAAAACCCCCCAAAATTTGGCACGGTATTGCAACCTAAATTAACAGCACTCTGGAAGCTGAGGTAGGAGGATCACAAGTTCAAGCCTAGGCTGGGCAACTAACTGAGAAAGACTGTTTCAAAATTTAAAAGAAAATGGGGCTGGGGATACAGTTCTGTGTGAAGGCCTTGGATTCAATTCTAACTCCAGAAAGAAGAAGAAATAAGGAAAGAAAAGAGGAGGGAAAGGAAAGAAAAGGAAAGGACGGAGAGAGGGGAAGAGAGAGAGAGAGGGAGCGCAGTGCAGGTGGGCTGGTCATACAGATGTAGCTCAGCATTCCCTGGGTTCAAAAAAATAAAAATTCAGAACTCAAAACCGGTATCTAGAACAAAACACTTCTAGGAGGATTACAACAAGCTGCTTTTCTCATGTGCATGCCTTTAGTGCACTGAAGGGTAGGTGGTAGAAGGTTTGAGTGTGTTTCTATGTGTACTCTGTATGTATTTGAACAGAATCCAAAACACTAGAACAATCAAAAAACTCATTAACTTTTTGCTTTTCTTTTCTTTTTGGTGCTGGGAATTGAACTCAGAGACTCATGTATGGTATCCACATATTCTGTAATTAACCTATACCCACAGTCAATTGTTTGCACTTTAAACTTCATGCAGTACAAGCATTTTTAATAGTTTATCCTCATTTCTTGAGTAATTTTCTTTCTCCCTCTCCTAAAATAGCAATGACACAAACCTTTATGACAGTCACAATTCAGACCTTTCATTTTACCTTTAGGATCAAGCAATTAACTTTCTAAACAGAGTCAAGAATAGATAATTATTATTTTCCTAAGTTTATTTATTTATTTATTTTTGTCTTTTTGAGACAGGGTCTCACTATGCAGTTCATGCTGGCCTTGAGCTCACTTTGTAGCCTAGACTGGCCTCAAACTTGCAATGATACTCCTGCCTCAGCCTCCTGAGTGCTGGGGTTACAGGTGTGTGCCACCACCCCAGCACTATTTTCCTAAGTTTATAGAAATAGTTTTGATATAATTAATGGTCTAAAGAAGCCACCATATTTACTGCTTTTATGGGAGAAAGGGGAAAAATAAAAGTATTATCTCATTTCCTTAAAAGGTCTTACTTCACAAAGCAAAAAAAGCCCAAGGATCTTACTCCCTGGACATAATTTCCAAGTTAATATTAGAAACCAAAAAAGAAAAAATAAGCAAGGTTAAGGAAAAGTGAAAGAAAAAAGTAATAGGACTTCTTATAAGTGGAAACAAATCATAAACTAAAATTCCAGGAATTTCTGCAGCAGAAATATTAAAACATTTTCACTTAAAAATTAGCAAAAAATCTCTCTGAAGAACAGTCTAGGGCATGGGGGCTGGGAGGTAACGAAGTACAGATGAGCCAGGAAGATAACTTTCTTTTACCTGTTTTCATGAATCCTGGATGCTCAGCAATGTTTGAACTATTTAACAGTTTTACAGCTTTTCGATAATTACCCCTTAAGTACTCAAAATTGCTTTTAAGAAACAGAGAGGGTGCAGACTGTAAAGAAAATATAAAAGGTATTTAAAGTTTGTTTTCAGATGCTAATGCAAGATCATAATTATACTCTTACCTAGGTATGTGTTCAAGAGCATGAATGAATCTATTAAGTCATGGACACAAAAAAACTATATATGGTCTAAATTTTTCACTGCTCTTACAATCTAAAAGACTACAAACTGTTTAGGGCTGGAGATGTAATTCAGTGGTAAAATACTTGCCAAGTATGCAGAAGACCTTGAGTTCAACCCTCAGTACCACACATCCAAAAAACAAAACAAAGATAAAATTATATATATGTTTATTTTACATAGTTTCAGCTGATTATTTCACTTGTACTGCTAATTGGAAGCTAATTTAACTTTTAGAGACAGGGTCTCACTGTGTTGCCCAAGGTGGCCTCAAACTTACAGGCTCAAATGAGCTTCCTTCTTAGCCTCCTGGGTACCTGGGACTGCAGGAGGTGTCTGCGTTTGTTTAGTTGGAACCCAATTTAGGAGCACAAACTAGGTCTTCTTTCATTCTAATGGTTATTAGAGACACTAGTGATCTTTCCTATTTCTAAGAATACAAAATACAAATGTACCTTTCATTAGGACTCAAATAATCAAATACTTTTTCCAAATAGAAATAAAAAGTATCATCCTATGAATGGAAAAATTTTGCAGTAGCAAGTCTTTTTTAATGAGCACTAATCTTGTCTTTTAACAGATCATGTTCTGGATTCCAGATCACCTTGCCCTTCTAAGAACCCTCGCGGAGCTAGGCATGGAGCTGCATCTCTGTAGTCCCACCTACTGAAGAGCTGAGGTGGCATGGCCTGGGCAACTTATTACCTGTTCTGAAAAGAACAGCAAACAAAACAAAGAGTCCTCACAGTGGAAGGGCCTCTAAGAAACAGTACTTAAGAATATAAAAGCAGCCAGAGATCCAGGAGGACAGCAGTAATCCTTGCCTTATTATTTAATTCACTTTAACTTAAAAATGGGCTTTACTTCCTTCTAAATTCTAGGTCTCCTTTGGTCAGCCTTGTGTACAGCCCCGCGCTGTGGTCACTAGGAAACAAGGGTTTTCAAGGCTGACACTTTTTTTGGTGGTGGGGGCAGTACTGGGCATGAATTTGCAATCCTCCTGCTTCAGCCTTCCAGAGTACTGGGATTATAGACACATGCTACCATACCCAGCTGACTCATACTTTCAAATCAAGTTTTTCTAAAAACAGTAAGATTCTTCACAATTCTGGTTTCTTTCCTTTACCATCTTCTCCTTCTTCTTCTCTCTCTCTCTCTTTTTGTTTTTTTTTTTTGAGACAGGCTCTCCCTGTGCAGTTCAGGTTGGCCTTGAGCTCATTACAAATCTGTAGCCCAGGCTGGCCTGGAACTCGCAAGGATCCTCCTACCTTAGCTTCCTGAGTGCTGGGATTACAGGCATGTGCCACCACGCCCAGCTTCCCCTATCATCTTAATTATTTATCAATAGAGGGTCAGGGTGGAGGGAAAAGAAGGGAAGAATAACAATATCTCAAATATTCTAGTACTAGGAAAACACCAAAGGTATACTCAAGCCAAAACTCATTTGGAAGGAACAGGTTTTTGCTACAATTTGATCATTACATTTTTAAATGTCTTTGGTATAGTATTAAAAATGCTGAAATAATATAAATGGCTATTATCTGCAAAATGTTTAAGTGAACTGTGATAAACCACTCACAGAATACTAGGCAACTATTTAAAATGGAAGTTCTAAAAAATAATAAATAAAATGGAGGTTCTGAAGGCTACAAAGAGAAAATGCTTTGTGTGTGTGTGTGTGTGTGTGTGTGTGTGGGTACTGCATCGAGAGGCTTTGCACTGAGCTATATCCTCAGTTCTTTTTTACCTTTTTTTGTTTGTTTGTTTTGTTGAGACAAGGTCTCACCATGCAGTTCAGGCTGGCCTTGAATTCACTTTGTAGCCCAGGGTGGCCTCAAACTTGTAGCAATCCTCCTGAAAGCCTTGTGCTGGGATTATAGGCAGGTGCCTCACACCTGCAATAATTTTGTTTTTTAAATTTATAGTGCTGGGTACTGAACTCAGGGACTTGTGCATTCATGGTGGGTAAGCACTCTACCACCGAGCTATACTCCCAGCCCAAATTGTCATACTTTTAAGTGAAAAATACATTAAATTATGGACACACTATGATCACTACTTCTGAACTTTGTAATATCGACTTATATCTGATAATAGTAAAGATAATATACCAAGATAAATTATTTAGTGCTAGAGACTAAACCCAGGGTCTTGTGCATACTAAGTGCATGCTCTGTCACTTAGTTACAAACCAGTGCAAAATAAGTTATTTTAAAAGGACAAATACTCATAGTCTAAATAAGAATGTTACAAATTGAAAAACAAAAGGAAAGTCTAGAAGAAACTTACATTTCCAGCTGTGTTCATGACTGATTTGATTTCCCTTTTGCATGCTTTCAGGGACTTCATTTGGATATAAGCTCTTACTTTGTACTGTCAAAGAAGAATGCTAGGATGTAAGAAGTATGGTTCATTTCCTTCTATGAAAAGTTTTACTTTCTAGGTAAGGAAGTTAAACCCAACATATTTCCAACACAGTTATACTAGTTCATTGCAAAAACAAGTTTAAAATTATTTTAAATACTTTATTTTGGCTATACACCTGGAATATACTTTAAAACACTAAAAAGTATGGTAAAATAAAATTTAGGGCTGAGTTCTGAGCAAAAGTCCTATGAATTCTTTGTTTTTTTGGTGCTGGGAATCAAACTCCAGACCCTGTACTTGCCAGGCAGGCACTGTGCTACTGAGCTATATCCCTGGCCCAATCCTATCTGCACATGGTAATCACAAATTGATTTTATCATCTATTACATTCCCATGCTATTTCTCTCAACTTTTTGTAGAATGATTAGAAATTACACCACACTAACATCCTAAATCAAAACATATTTAGAAAAATAAATGTACTTTTTTGTTTTTTGAGACAGGGTCTCACTATATGTAGTGTAGGCTGGCCTTGAACTCACTATATAGCCCAAAGGGCCTCAAACTCATAGCGATCCTCCTGCCTCAGCCTCCTGAATGCTGGGATTATGATAAATGTACTTCTAAAAGACAGTACCCTCAAAGACAAATAAATATACATGCCTTAAATTATATAATGCCTTCAATGATTGATCACACTGCTTCGTTATTTCCACTACAGTACAAATAAATATACATGAAGTATAACTGCCCTTCAAAGGTTATACTACCTGATGTATCTTTGATTTTGCAGCTTCTATCAGAGCTCCACTTTCAGCTTTATGATTAGATCCATCTTTGTTGCTATTACTACCAGTCTGTAAGATGGCAAAACAAAGTTAATTAAAATTAAGTATTTTTGACCATAACTGATTTCCAAGTGGGCAGATATGAAAACCTATAGAGTATTTTCAAAATGCAGAATCCCGCTGGGCATGGTGGCACACACCTATAATCCTAGCACTAGGGAGGCTGAGGCAGGAGGATTGCTGTAGGTTTGAGGCCAGCTTGGACTACAGAGGGAGTTCAAGGCCAGCCTGAACTAATAAGGAAACTTGGTCTCAAAAACAAAACAAACAAAAAGTCATAATGCACAATCGCATGCTCTATTCCTAGAGATTCAGGTTCAGTAGTCTGGAGTGGGTGCTAGGAAACTACTTGTAAGAAGCTCATAGCAACAATGTGTATTCATTCATTGGTTTGTTCATTAAACAAGGGGCTATGTGGCAAGAAAAAAAAAGCTCATAGTTTAGCAAAATTACAGATTTCTTTTAAAAAGAACAGTATTTTTTTTTTTTAGTTTTTTTGAGACAGGGTCTCACTATGCAGTTCACGCTGGCCTTGAGTTCACTTTGTAGCCCAGGCTGGTCTTGAACTCACAACGACCCACCTGCCTCAGCCTTCCGAGTGCTGGGATTACAGGTGTGTGCCACACATCTGGCTAGAAGAATGGGTATTACTGAAAGTACTGTTCTTTCTTTTTTTGGGGAGGTGGGGTTTGAGACAGGTCTTGCTATGCAGTTCCAGGCTGCCCTGGAACTCAAAGCGATCCTCTTGCTTCACCATGCCAGGTTCAGACTATATTTCTAAAACCCAGAACAGATCATGTCACTGCAATCTTAAAACCTTTCTGTATAAATTCTTGAAGTTAAAAATAAATAAACATCTAGCATGTTTTGCTTTTTTTTTTTTTTACCTTAACAAGTATGTATATAAAAGGACTGAGCAATTTTAGTCAAGTAATCAGCATTATTCTTTCATGTCATATAGTAAACTAGTTAATATTTATAATTCAACACTTGGAATATGTGCTAAAATGTCATTTAGTTGAGATGTTTGTATGCTCTCCTGGATACTAAAGGGACAAAAATGGACACACTGCAGTTCTTGCTTTCAGGATCCTGGATGGGAAGAGTTGGGTTATTAGCTTGTGGACATGGAGGGAGGAGGTTAGGGAGTGTTTTGGAGTTTGGGTGTTTGATTTGGACCTTGAATAGTCCGACAAGTTCAAAAAAAGAAAGCTGGAGCAGCATAACAGTACTGTTGGAGAAAAAAGAACAAAAAGATGGGCCAGGGATATAGCTCAGTGGCATGGTGTCTGCCTGGCAAGTACAAGGGCCTGAGTTCAATTCCCCATACCAAAAACAACAACAACAAAAACTTTCTCTGCTAAAAACAGCATCAATGGGACTGGGGATATAGCTCAGTGGCATAAGTACCTTCCTGGCAAGCACAAGGTCCTGAGTTCAATCCCTGGCACCAAAAAAAGATAAGTAAATAAAAACAGCACCAAATCCCAACTCCCTAAAAAAGCAGCCCACATTCTTCCAGGTATGCCCATACTCATGCTGCAGTGTGCATCTCCTCCTGCTCACTTCATCACCAGAACAGTCCCCAGCATGCCAGATGCTCACATCTTTCTGTTCTTTTTTCTCCAACAGCACTGTTATGCTGCTCCAGCTTTCTTTTTTTGAACTTGTCGGACTATTCAAGGTTCAAATCAAACACTCCAACTCTTCCAAACACTCTCTAACCTCCTCCCTCCATGTCCACAAGCTAATAACCCAACTCTTCCCATCCAAGATCCTGAAAGTAAGAACTGCAGTGTGTCCATTTTTGTCCCTTTAGTATCCAGGAGAGCATACAAACATCTCAACTAAATGGCATTTTAGCACATATTTCAAGTGTTGAATTATAAATATTAAATAGTGTACTATATAATACGAAAGAATAATGCTGATTACTTGACTAAAATTGCTCAGTCCCTTTATATACATACTTGTTAAGGTAAAAAAAAAGCAAAACATGCTAGATGTTTACTTTTTTTAACTTCAAGAATTTATACAGAAAGGTACTGGCAATCTGTTTCCTGCAAACATTCCTTTTCTAAAACAAAAGGGCAGGAACAAAAATAAAAAAGGGCATCCCTTTACAACCAGAAGCACAAACAAAAGAAACAAAACATGAGATCCAAGATGTGCTCTTTAGATGTACCAAGTCTCTTAGTAGAACAAAGTAAAGCAGAGTGAAGCTTAGTCTTCACAAATGTATGAAGAACTTTAATGATAAAACTTTCCCTAATGAAAACAACCTTGTGTGTCCAGATTATGGTTCTCTCTGTCTCTCTCTCTTTTGGAGCTGGGGTCTTGTTGTACTCCCAGGCTGTCTTGAGCCACTGGAGCTCACGCACATCTCCTATCTCAGCCTCCCAAATAGCTTGGACTACAGGTGCTTGCTACCACACCTAGCTAGATTATCGGTTTATCTTAATTCCAACCTTCACATTCTGTAAAAATATTTCATACATGACAAGATGCTCAGTATACATCCTTAGTCACTAGGCAAATATAAATCAAAACTAGAACAAGAGGGGCTGGGGATTTAGCTCAGCGGCAAAAGCCC